GAGCCATCAGCTTTGCTCTGGCTTGACTGACAACTCTGGTTGGCCCAGTCACTCTGGAGGATAAATTTATTCCCACTTGGTTTAAGTATTTCCCTCTGTTTGCTCATCAGTTGTGCAGCACCAAAAATGGGTTTGGATTTTTGGTTTGGATTTCTCCCCCGTGGCCCTTTCGTAGTCCTGTACATACAGTGTGAGGGATGACCAGGAGTTAGGAAACTATGTGGAATATTTCTACTATTTTATGCTTTTTTCAATTTAGAAAAAGAGTATGTTATTGCTTTATGTTAAAGAGAAGTAGTAGGTAACAGGCTTGATTTGTCAATGTTATACATTCTGGGTGTAAGCTATGCTTTTTTTAGCATTTTCATTATAATAATGATTTTTATCTGTATTGAGTGGTTGAATTCCTGGTGGATGATGTTTCTCCCGGTGCTGGGACTGCCCTATGGCTCACCTGCATACTGTGTATGCATCTCTGTGTGTGTAGAGAGCAATAAAATGCATTTGTGTGCAACTCCTGTGTTGTGGGTCTCTCCATCTGAAGGATGTGCAGCTGCCTGCACCCCTGGGTAAAGTTGTCATTCTGAAGAAATGGAGTTTTTTTAAAGCTCAAGGAACTCCCATTCATGTTTACTTTGTATATTCTTGAGAATCCCACAGATTCCTGCAGAATCCTACTGAGCATTCCCTCAGCCCTGTCCCAAACCCCTCACCTGAGCAGCAATGTCCTCCTACACCTGCCCAGAACCTGACTCCTATTTCCACACCATTTGGTCACAAATTTAGCCCACTAAGCTGAGTTTTGAGGGGTGGGTTTGTGCCAGATTTAGTGGGGTTTCTACCAAGATTTAAGGGGTTGGTTTTTACCAGGGTTTGTGGGCTTGGTTTGCCAGGTTTAGAGGGGTGAGTTTGTGCAAGGTTTAGTGGGGTTTGTACCAGGTTTAGAGGGGTGAGTTTGTGCAAGGTTTAGTGGGGTTTGTACCAGGATTTGAGGGGTTGGTTTGCCAGGTTTAGAGGGGCTTCTATCAGGATTTAAAGGGTTGGTTTTTACCAGGATTTGAGGGCTTGGTTGGCCAGGTTTTGAGGGGTGAGTTTGTGCCAGGTTTAGAGGGGTTTGTACCAGGATTTGAGGGATTTGTACCAGGATTTAAGGGCTTGGTTTTCTAGACTTTGAGGGGTGAGTTTGGGCCAGGTTTTGAGGGGCTTCTATCAGGATTTGAGGGCTTGGTTTGCCAGGTTTAGAGGGGTGAGTTTATGCCAGGTTTAGTGGGGTTTTTACCAGGATTTGAGGGGTTGGTTTGCCAGGTTTTGAGGGGTGGACCTGTGTCAGGTTTAGAGGGGTTTGTACCAGGATTTGAGGGCTTGGTTTGCCAGGTTTTGAGGGGTGGGTTTATGCCAGGTTTAGAGAAATTTGTACCCTGGTTTAAGGGCTTGGTTTGCTAGGTTTTGAGGGCAATTTAATTTTCTTAAGTAGTTTGTACCAGGTTTAGAGGGGTTGGCTTGCCTGTATTCGAGGGGTTTGTCAGGTTTTGAGGGGGTTGCCACAATTTAAGGGGTTTTTCAGGTTTTGCCACAATTTAAGGGGTTTGTCAGGCTTTGAGGGGTTTTCTCCCATCACACCTGAGGAGCAGAGCACATCCCCAGCTCCACCTCCACCAGCAATCATGGAAATCCTTGTCTCTGTGGTTCTGCTGGCTGGTGCAGCTGCCCTCACAAATATCTGGCAAAGGAGGAGAAGTTATGTGCCCCAGAAGTAGGAAAAACATCACTGTAAATGAGTAGTTTTGTAATAATATCCTGAATAATGGTCTTATTTCTCCAGCTGAAAATTCCCCTTAGTGCTTGTTGGTGGGGCTGTTTCTTCTCCTTTGCAGCAGTGCATGAGTCAGAGGTGTCTCTCTTTTTGGGTAGTACATTAAAATCTGATTTGAGAGTGACCCAACAGTGATTCTTGCTCTCAAGAGAGCAGTAGAATCCTAAATGTTAGAGTGGAAAGAGCAGGATTTGCTGATGAAATCTGATAAAAGCTGACTCTTCATACTCTGTGTTTCCCTTTGACGTGGTTTTGATGTTAATGAGGAGAAAGGAGATCAAACAACTTCTCCTGCGCAGGAACTCGATGCCTACCCCAAAAAAACCAGATCTGAATTGGACATTGAACTGTGACACACAATGGGGACGGTTAAAAACCCAAACACAACCACTTTTTTTTTTCTTTTTTTTTTTTCCTCCTAAATCATCATGAAGAGAAAGGCAGCTTGAAAATGAAAAGGAGGGTTTGCAAAGGAGTTCATGAAACAGCCCAGTGGCATCTTGTGAAGCATCAAAGTGGCAACAGCTGAGTGATCAAGGCATGGGAGTGTCACAGGGGCTGGAAACTCTTCCTTTTCACATCCCCTTCAGGAGCACTGGGCTGTGTGGAATGCCTGGATTTTTCTTCTTTCCCCATGGACAGTTGACACTTGGTATGCATTAATTATTCCACTTGTTGCTTGTTGATGGGAAAAACTGTTTTTTTTTTTTTTTTCCATTTTTTCCATTCTATTCTGCATAATACACAATGCAGTTTCCAAATGGATTTTTGTACAGATTTTTTCAGTTTTTAGGAGAAAAGAAAGGAATTGTACACAGCAATTCCATGTAAAACAAATTAAAAAAAATCCATTGTGCCAAGCAAACCATGTAGCTTTTAGTAAAGAAAGCTAACATGCTCTGTGTCCACTGTATGTAAAAATAAAGTTTTTGCTGAAGAAAACACATTCTCTTTATGGAGAGAGAATGTAAGGTCTTCTTAATGAAATTTCCTGGTACCTGCAGAAGGGAAAACTCTGAGTTATGTGGCTGTTGGATTTACCTTAAGGAAAAGGATTATTCTGAATAATTTTAAGGAAGAATTTGGTGAGGATAGAAATGCTTTAGCTATCAGAATTGTCTACAAAATGAGATGTGAAAGAATCTGGAGAGGCACAGAAGAAAGCCCTGAATGGGTGTGCTGGGACCTCTGGGAGGTGACATCCACATGACCGTGAGGAGTGGAAAAAATGGGAAATGTTGGCCTTTTTCTCAAGGAAAATATGATAGACAACTTCTTGATTTTTTTCTAATTTTTTTTTAAATTTTACTGTGTTAGTTTTTTCAGCAGAATTAGTTCTGGGTGTTTTTGCAGAGTAAGGTGTTTCAGAAACTCTGTGGTTTATAGGAATGGCTGTGCAAAATCCCAGCTGCTGTAGGGAGCTCTGCACAGCCGGGGACTGAGGTGCAGCATCCACCAGGATCAGCAATCCACCAACTAAAAATGATTTTTTTTTTGCAGGATTTGATGTCAGCACCAGCTGTGGTTCGATGGAGCTGAAAGCTGCTCCTGTTGGATGTGAATTTTGGTCTTTTAGGAGCTGGAGCAGGATTTGTCACCAGGTGGCAGCATGGGAGAGGGAAAGGCTTCATTTCCTTCTGGGAAACATCAGGATCTTCTTTTCCTCAGCATCTAATAAAGCTTCTTCTCACTGTCTACGATTTAAAGTGCAGCAAAACACCTCTGGGTGCAGAACTTCCCATAGGGCTGAAGCATTTTGTGATTGTGGAAAGGAATTCAGGGCCATTTCTCTCATCTCCAGTTTGTGTGTGGGCACTGCTGGACTGCTGTGACATCTTGGATAGAATAAACTGCATTTTGTATGCAATAAACTGCATTTTGTACAATAAACTGCATTTTGTATACAATAAACTGCATTTTGAAGAGCTGCCTGGAGTCCCACATCTCTCATTTCAGCTCTTACAATATGGGATAAACTTACAGGAAAAAATAGAGGAACTTCCATGCGTGCAAGTGTTGATTCACTTGGAATTAACCCTTCCATGCACATTTTAGTTATCCCTTTAACAGTTGCATGTGCCAGAACCTTTAATAGCCCATCTCCAGTCACACAGGCAGTTACTGCCTTGCTGTCAAATGATTCCTATGCTAAAAAGAAAAGTATTTGCTGGAATAATATTGAAAACTCACTATTAAATGCTGCAAGTTTAAGATATTCTCGTTATAGCAGGATGCTTACCAAGGAAAGCCCCCCATATGGAAATCCTTGATGAATTCACCACCATGATTTTTTTTTCCTTTTAAATTTTATTAAAAATTAATACATGTTACATTTTCAAGTGTAAATACTGAAAAATAGCCTATGGCAAAATAAAAAGGCACAGGATTAAAACCAGCTTAATTGTTTCCATGGATACATGTCTGCTATTTGGCAAAAGGTATTTTATACACTTTCTACAAGAATAAGCATCATTTTAAATATATCTCTGAAGGGTGGGACCCTGTAATTTAACCAGAAAGACAGAATTTGTACTCCTACAATGTGATAATTGTAGTGATGCCTCACTTGAAGGGGGTTCTTTGGAGCAGAGGAACTCAAGTGCAGGAGGAGAGTGCGACAGGCATCTTGGCACAGAGCTCACTGTCACCACAAATAGCAATCCATGAACAGCAAAGCAGTGATCAGAGTGCAGGGGCACAGACAGCACGAGAGTTCACACCAGCCCTAACCTGCTCTGGGGGGAAAATGCACCAGAACCAGAAGCAGAACACTGGAAACGGAGCAGTGGAACAGTCTCAGACAGCATTGCTGAGCCCCCAGAAAGCGGGGCTGGCGTGTTAAAATTATTATTCCTTCCTGAAAAATAGATTCGTGGCTGCTTGTTGGTTTTGTTTTCTTGTGTGTGAGAACGAGTCCTTGTAACCCTGAAGCAGAGTCTCAGTAACAGTCAGGATGTCCTTGGAAACAGACCTTGAGCCTGGGGACACAGCGCGGCTTTGCCAGCCCCGGGCTCCATCCTCCATCCCCGTCACCCCCTGTGAGGTTCCCAGCGGCTCTGGGACAGCTGAGGGCTTCCCTGGCCCTCCCTGCAGCAGCTGCCCCTGCTGCTGCCCCTGGGGCTGAGCAGGACGCCGGGCACATCCCTGCCAGCAGCTGGTTGTGGTGGCACCAGAGTGCCATCGCGGGTTACCACACGCGGCACGTCCCCGCGGGGTGCATGGCCGAGCCCTTCTTGCAGTGGAACACCTCAGAAAAGGCCTCAAAGTTCTGCAGGGAGCCCATCACCCTAAACAAAGAGAAGGGACTCTCATTTACATGGAAATTGCTGCTCTAGGGGAGTAGAAAGTGGTTTGGGGCTTCATGTTGAAGAGGATGAGACAGGAAAGGCTTATAGATATGAGTGTCTGGCAAAAGATTTTGAGAATATGGAAAGTATAAGTGAGATTGAAATGAAAGCAAGCTTTGAGATCCCTTAGTTACTGAACAACAGGAAAACAATGGTGTGGCCAGCTGAAGGTAATCCCCTTTTGATGGAACAACAACCTCTGCTTGCAGACAGGTCCAAGGGCCAGAGCAGACTCTACAGCTTGGCAGAAGGGGTCCAAAGAGGAGTTTTTAGGGTTTAGAATGTAGCACAGTATGGTAATGTGGTGATTCTTATAGGCTGTATGGAAATGCTATAGGATTTGTATCTTGTACTAGATTGGTTAGTGAGAATCCGAATATTCAGCACAGAAGAAGATTTATGGTATTGTAATGAGAACTTCTCTCTCTTTTAATCTTCCTCACTCTCTCATCCTCTTCACCACACTCTTGCCTTCTTGCTCTTTACCTCCCTCTCTTCTCTCGGGCCTGCTCTGAGCTGTGGCTGGCAGCTCCCAGCAGGGCCCTGCACCCAGGCCCTTTGCAATAAACCCCAAATTCCAAGACCAGAAGAAAATTTATTGTATTGTAAAGGGAACCTCACCCTCTGATCCTCTCTTTTACTCTCCCATTCTCGCTTTACCACACTCTTTACCTCTCTCTCTCCCTCTTTGGGGCCTGCTCTGAGCTGTGGCTGGCGGCTCCCAGCAGGGCCCTGCACCCAGGCCCTTTGCAATAAACCTCAAATTCCAAGCCCTGGCTTCAAAAATCTCTTGTCTCCATCCATCCCACCCACACCTCAGAACTTGATTGCAGTTTAGAATATGGGATGCTTTAGAAAATATAGGTAATATAGGCAATGAAAAAAAACCCCACCTGTACTTCAGAGGGCTGTGCACATCTGTCTTTATGGACTGGCTGGCATATTCTGGTCTGTAGGAACCACACCAAACCTGCACAGGGAGATTCATCATTAGTGGGTCAGTATTGGGAATTCATGTTGGGAAACCTCTCAGCTTTCCTTAGAACCATCCCAGTTTGCTGTGATATCATTGGGGTACATTTTATAGAGAGGCAGAATAGATGTAATTATTCACTAATTAGCTTTTGTTTTATCAAGGTCTGGTGCTCTGGGACAGATCTATGTGCCCTTGATTTCCCCCAGGGGTTTGCTCCAGCACAACCTGAGGCACAGCCCTGTGTGTTCTCACCTGGGCAAAGTTGAGGAAGAAAAGCTGTTTGTGGGACATGTTCAGTCCAGGCAGCTTTGGCTCCTTGCCTTCCTGTTCCAGCCACTTCAAATAGGCCTGGAAATGATCACAGAGCAACTCAGAGCAGCAGCAGGAGGATTTTGAATGGGAGGAGGGATTTTATTCACCATATGCATTAACCAGCATGCTTCCCTTCTGTATTTGTATACATTTTCTGTCTCTAATACAAACAGTGCAGAGAATTTTAAGAAAAAGCTGTCAGCATAAGCACTGTTGACTTCATGGTCTCGTTCTACAGGAATTTGTATCTGTAAATAAAGTGTTAAACCTCCTCTGCTTCTCTATAGTGATGATTTTTCTCTCTTCAGGTAACTGCTCATTAAATAGCAGATAACAACCTTGCTCAATGTTAAATCCATTACCTGTTATTGTTGCACATTAATTGGCCAATTTGCTTTTTTTAGGTATATTGACATGATGGAGACAAGTTAATGTGCCCTTATGCTGGTTAATTCCCAGCATTCTGTTTCTGCAGCCTCCCAGGTGCTGAGACAATCCCAAAGCATGAAACAGAAGGGAGAATGAGGGGAAAAAGAGATCCAGCACCACAGAACATCCACGGATTCCATGTGCAGGCACATCCCCTCCACATCTGTCATGGCTTTTAGAACAATCCTAATGAAGTAATTCATTGGAATGGTGTCCCTTAGGGCTGGAATTTAAATTTCCAAAAATTCAGGGTGTTCTATAAACACCCCACTCAAAACACCACAGATAAAAGGTTTTACTGTGATATCTATTAGGGTTCTTTGTAGGGAAGAACATTCCCTCAGCTCCACCTTTGGGCTGCTTCTGGGTGCAAGAATGGCAGTAAGCCATGAGCACATGAGCTTCCAGGTGTGCATCTGAGGTTTTAGCTTTTAGAATGTGCTAATAGCATGATAATTGTCAAATTTTAGCATAGAATAGTTCACAAAACAGGTAAAGTTAAGGTTTTAAAGGTGGGGATTACCTTATAAGCCTGTCGGACTCCTCCATTATCTGCAATATTTTCTCCTAATGTGCTTATGCCACTGACCTGTAAAAATAATAATTAAAATAAAATAAAAAAAGAATGACAGGCCAGTTATACAACAGCCTGACATGCCTGGAGCAAAGGGAAGCTGTGCTGGAACAAGAAAGGAGAGAATGAAAGGAAACAAATCACAGGATAAGAGCTGTAGATTGAAACAGAACACATACAAATATAACACTAGTATAACACAAACATAACACCAGTATAACACTAATATAACACTAGTATAACACTAATATAATATAATATAATATAATATAATATAATATAATATATGGACAGAACATCACTGCACACAGACCCTGGCCTTTCTGGGCCACACCAGAGTCCCCAGTTCATCCCAGTCCTACAGTAGCTGGGGTTTATGATTATCTCCTGTTAAATTAAATATTTGTGCAAAGCCAGAGCTGTGGCTGTTATCGTCACTCACGTTCTGTCCCCCTGCCAGCTCCCAGGTGTAATTCCCATACTGGTGCACCATGCACAGGGACTGCTCCTTGAAATGCAGCGCTGAGAAGTTGCTCCACCAGTCCAACATGTTCCCATCCTTGTCAAAATTCCTTCCTGAAGGAAAACCCAGGGAAAAAAGGAAAGTTTTGAGCAAGATTTTAAAACTCTTGCAGTGTCGCAGGTGGAATGTTGGAGCTGCACTCCCTCTTTTCTCCTTGAATTTAAATATTTTGGGCACAGTTTATTCTCTTTGTCACAAGGGAGTAGAATTGTGGTCTCTCTTATTCCCTGATTTCTTGTTCAGTCAGCAGCCCAGGTATAGCTCCAAGGCCTGGTTTTATTTCCAAGTGGATTTTGCAGTTATGGTGTAACAAAACCTTCCCTCAGCTCTGAGGTGCTGGTTCTGTGTGGCCACATGTCAGAACTGACATTTATAGAGAATTAAAAGCTGGAACTGCAGTTCTGGACTTTGTGTTCTTGGTTTTCTGGCTAGAAAAAGGCTTTTCTTTGCTCTGGAACTCAGTTTCTGAGGCAGTTTCTCTCATCTGCACAAACTTATTGAGCATAAAAAAACCACATGGAAGAAATTCCTGACTGGTAGAGTCAGAAGTGAGCTTTTCCCCCAAATTCTTTTACATGACATTTGAGAAACTTAAAAAAGCCAATTTATTTAAAGCGTTTGGGTCAAAAAAACAAAGTCTCCTGGGATTTCAAGACTCTGCTGACATTTGTTCTATCCCAAAAATGTTGTTCACAGATTTCACTGTATTCAGGAGCCCATGGATCTGCTTGCTTTGTGTTTCTGATATGATGATGCTGTAAAAATAACATTTTTTTTCCTGAGAATTGTCATTTCCTCAATTTTTTTTTAATACCTGATTATTTCTCATGCTCTGTTCAGGAAACACTCCCTGAAAAACTTTGCACAGAGTGTTCCCAGTGTGCTCCTATTGCTGCTGAGCTGGATGTGGCTGTGCAGGGATCTTCAATCCCAGTGCACTTTAATCCCTGCCATTCCTGCCACGAGTTTTAGCTGAAATAAAACCATTTTTTTCAGTCATCTCCTCACCATTGTCATCGAAGCCATGTGTGATCTCGTGCCCAATAACCATCCCAATCCCTCCAAAGTTCAGGGCCTGGGGCTGGTACTTGCTGAAGAAGGGGGGCTGGAGAATCCCGGCAGGAAAAACTGCAAAGACAGGGAGAAAGAGGGAAATGCTGTAAAATGGCTTAATTTTGCAGATTGTTTGCTTGGTGTAAGGGTCAGGAAGGAACAGAAAATATAAAATGATTAGAAACAAGCTCATGCCTCACGCGAAATCGTTTCTCTCTTGCTAAATGGAAAACGACAAGTTAATAAAGGTTTAATTTAGCACAACTGCAGCTGCAGCATCTCCCTGTTTGAGACCCAAGCAGCATTTACATTAAGCTCAGTCTAATTTCTGCAGCTTGGGTGGCTCTCAGCAGTGCCATTGCACAGGGCAAATGCAGAGCTGCCCCATGGGCTGAAAACTCAGCAGCCCAGGACACACTGAGGGCATTCTCTGGGTGCTGTGCCAGGCTTTCAAACCCAAGGCTGCTCAGTGACAGTGGATAAAACTGAGGAGTTTAATATTCATCAATAAAGTGCTTGAGCTGAACAGCCAGGCAGCCTTTGCCTCTGGATGCAAACCTGAACTGTTTTGTGGATAAAACCAGCTGGTTAAAAGGGTTTAAACCTACCTATCTGGTTCCTGTTGGGGGAATAGAATGCATTGACCACTGCAGCTCCAATTATCCATCTGAAAATAAACGTTGCACAAAGTTAGATAGGATGGTGTTTTTTCCCCTAGATATTTTTGAAATTTAATTCTGATTAAAAAGTGCAAGGTATATAGGAAAGAATTGTAAGGATATAATCCTTTAAGGGATTATTTATTTATATAATCTATATAATCTATATAATCTATATCTATATATCTATATCTATATCTAATATATATAATCTATATCTATCTATATATATACACCTATATCTAATCTATCTATATCTATATCTATATCTATATCTATATCTATGTCTATGTCTATGTCTATATCTATATATTTATATATATCTCTCTATATATATATGTATGTGTATATATATGTATACATATATACACACACATATTTGTACTCTCTCTCTCTATATATATATATATATAAAAATATATATTATCAGAATGTATAGATGGATATATAAAGAAATACAATTTCCTTGTTAGGAGAGGGAAGAACCTTGTAACAAGAAGGAAAAATCCCTTATAAAGAGATTATATAAGGCAAGAATTCATGTAGGAAAAAGGGTGCACTGATGACAGCTGTGAAGAATTCCTGATATCAGGAGATACCTGATGGCTTTTTTATGGGCAGCTTTCATCCCAAACACACAACATTCAAAGGGAAAAGCATTTTTCACTTTATCTTAGGGTTGTTTAACTCCTTGATTATCTCAGCCCCAGGTGTTCCCAGGTACCCACAGCATGAGCTGAACACCCCCACCATGAACCCAGAATTTAGGTTGTGTCTGTGGCTCTGTCTGGAAACTCACATGTCTTGGTCAACTCTCTCTCTCAGCTTTTTCAGGCTCTTCTGGGCTCCAGCTCTCAGGTTTTCCAGGATGTTTTCAAAGTAGCTGTGCTCACTGAAGTTTAACTGCACAAACAGGGATCCATTGGTCAGCTGAGTAGGAAGAGGAACTCCTCGTCCCACTGAGTGTCCTCTAAAGGACATTTTGGTTGCATGGTTTCACTGAATAGTTGGTTCTTTGCACCAATTATTTGTTAATGTGTTTATTTCAATGTCCTTGGAAAGGGCAGTTGCACAGGTACAAGTATTCCAGCGGGAAGAAAGCAAAGGCAGGGGTTTATTCTGAGGGATTTAGTGAGATGTGCACAAAAACACTTACATTGGCATATTCCAGGTCCAGTTTCTCATTGTGATCTTCCAAAATGTAATCTGGGTAGCCAATTTGTTCTTTGATTGCCATAGCCTGGAAGAAAAGAGTTGAATGCTTCCTCCTAATTGTGGTTTTTGTTGGTGTGCTGTTGTTGGGTTGTTTTTACTAAAGTTTCAATGCAAAGAACAGTGAAATGTTTGGGTTTTCTCCTGGCTTTGGAGTGGTGCTGATCATCCTGAGGTCAATTAAAAGTTGGAAATGTTTTTTTTGGGGGGAATTGCGTCACATCCAGTTGGCATTTTTATTGATGTGGGCTAACAAAGGATTGAAAGGAAAGGAGAATGTAACAGGATCATAATGTCCTCTTTGCCTCTTGTTTGTGGAGAAACTGGATATGGTGATACTACAAAATTCCAAATATTTCATGTTCATGAGGGAAAACTGAAGTTCTTTGTTGTGTCTGACCTTCTCACGAGCTTTCTCCTTGGATGCCTCATCCATCCACTGTAACTCATCCAAGGTCTCCACGAACACTTCGCGGATCTTCTCTATTAAATCTCGGACCTGAAAGAGAGCCAGGGAGACACTCATCATTGCCATGCCCTATTCCCAGCTAGGGAGGGATGAAAAGCTTCCTGCTGGAAGGCCATGTCTCCAAATTCTGTGCTCTAAACCATGGTGCTGAGCACCTGAAAGTGTGGAAGTGACAGTCTGGTCAAGGAGTGAAGCAGATAACTCTCCCAGGCATCGTTCTGGGAAAAGCTGTGAGAAGCTCAGAGAAAAGAATTAAAACAATTCTTATCTTGGTCTGTGCACCTGGTATTTAGGAACATGTGGAATGTTGTATCTGATTTTATAGAGAGAAATGTACAAGAAAGTGTTGTTCCTAACTATCCAATGGCATGAGAAATGAGAAATGTTGTTTGAGAACCAGTCAGGTTCTGGGTGAATGATCTTCCCTATAAATATGGGGAGTTTGGTAATAAAGTTTTGCTTTATGCCTTCTGAGATTTTGGAGTGAAATGTTGTTCTTAATATAACAATGACATAAAAGAGCATCACAAATGAGTCCTTGCACCTTCCTGACTGGTGGATAACTCTCCCAGGCAGAGGGAATGGGCCATTGTGGCTGTGTTGTTGTTGAGTCATGAGCAACATAGCCACCCAAGGCATTCAGAAAGCTAACTCACTTTATCAGAAAACCCATTCCTTTTTATATTCTAGTCCACTACAGGTGGACCTGATTGGTCCCTTAATCAAAACACCATTAGCTAATTAAGAAGACACCCATTTGCAAACAACCTTTTGGGCTGTAAACAGCTTATTACAAAACACCAGGTGCAGATTGTTCAGAATTCTTTCTCTCCAGCTCCCTAAACCTTCCCAGACCGACTCATGGCAAAGCTTATTTGGTTTTCTCTCTCTCTCTGACCAGAGAGCTGCCACCAGAGTGGACATACAGTAGTATGAAGGGTAAACTACATACCATCCTCTTGCTCTCACCAGCAAAAGTCTCCCGGACATACATGGCTCCCACCGCGTTCTCCAGGTTGTTGTTGACGTAGCTCACGCACTCCCGCCAGCGCGCCTCCTCCAGCGTCGTCCCGTACAGGGCCTGCAGCAACACAGCCCACATCCACCCAAAGCTCTTCCAAACACCGACTAAACTAACCCAAACACTGCCTAAATTTACCCAAAGGTTCCAAACCACCACCTAAATTACCCTAAAGGTTCCAAACCACCACCTAAATTAACCTAAACACTGCCTAAATTAACCCAGAGGTTCCAAAGCACTGGCTAAGTTAAGCTAAAGCTTTCAAACCACTGACTAAATTAACCCAACACTTTCAAAGCTTTCAAACCGCTGCCTAAATTAATCCAAGGGTTTCAAAGTACCACCTAAATTAACCCAAAGGTTCCGAACCACTGCCTAACTTAACCCAAAGCTTTCAAAGCACCACCTAAATTAGCCCAGTTGTTTCAAACCGCCACCTAAATAAACCCAAATGTTTCAAAGCACCGCCTAAATTAACCCAAAGCTTTCAAACCATGACCTAAATTAACCCAAAGCTTTCAAACCATGACCTAAATTAACCCAAACACTGCCTAAATTAAGCCAGAGTTTCCAAAGCACCACCTAAATTAACCCAGTTGTTTCAAACCGCCACCTAAATTAACCCAAAGCTTTGAAAGCATCACCTAAATTAACCCAAAGCTTCCAAACCACTGCCTAAATTGACCCAGAAACCGACTAAATTAACCCAAAGGTTCCAAACCATTGCCTAAATTAACCCAAAGCTTTCAAACCACCGCCTAAATTAACCCAAGCACTGCCTAAATTAACCCAAAGCTTTCAAACCACCACCTAAATTAACCCACCCAAATGAACCCAAAGCTTTCAAAGCACTGCCTAAATTAACCTAAAGGTTTCAGACCACTGCCTAAATTAACCCAAACACTGCCTAAATTAAACCAAAGTTTCCCACTGCTGCGATTGGACGTGTTTGAGCATTCCGTGATGTAATCCCAGTATCTAGAATGGTTTGGGCTGGGAGGGAGCCTAAAGTTCATCTCTTTCCAAAGCCCTGGCTGGGTTTTTGTGCCGGGCAGGTTGGGTTTGGTGATGATAAAGGGGCAGTGGTGCTCTCCCCTTGGTGAAGAGAGGAAATACCTTCCTGTAGCTGGCCCGAGCGTCCTTGAAGCGCCGGCTCAAGCTGCTGACCCGGTCGATCACCAGCCGCCAGATGAGGTAGTTCTGGATGGTGCTGTGTGGGAAAGCAAAGCTGAGCTTAACCCCCTCTAAAAACCAGCCCTAGGGCAGGCAGTCACAGGGGAATCTGAATTTTGGATGGAGACAAGGAAGGAAATCATTGTTGCCAGTGCTGGGTGTCACAGCATCTCATTTAACTGCAGTCATCCAGCCTGAGGACTGGGCTGTCGTGTCTGTTCTGGGATTCATTTCTTATTTTTCTTCCTTCTGGAATGTAACAAGAGCAAAGCCTGTCATGTGTTTTTTTCTTCCCATTTAACCTTTTCTAAGCAAGCAGCAAGTGAGACACCTTGTACTGCAGTATTTGGAATTTGAAACCTCCAAAGGCATTTTCTGTATTTTACAGGGGTTTCATTTTCCCTCAGAAGCTCAGAACTAGCAAAGGGGGTCCAATAATTGACATTTCAGCAATCCTTCTGTGACTTTTGTCCCACCTATCCTGCAGTGTCTTTACCTGGCTGAGTACTTGGAGATAATTGCTTTCAGCTCTTGCAGATAAGGCATCCCATACACAACCACCTCCTCCTCTGGGTCCACCTGAACACTCACTGAAGACATGACACGTTGGATGAAGAAGGTCCAGTTAAATTCCTAGGCAGAATTTAACAGAGAGACATTCCAGTGTTGGATGATTAAATACCTCAGTAACTTCTGACAGTCTTATGGCCTTGAATGCAGCTTATAAAGAGATTCTGAAGGCAAAATCAGGAGTGGGAATGATTTTATACCTCTTTGTTGAAGCACTGGCCAATTCACAAAGCCATTTCCAGCTGGCAAGTAATTAAGAGACCCTGTAGGATCAGACTGCTCATGAAACACTTACATTGAATGCAAACTTTTCCTGCAGCTCTGCTAAGGTCATTTTGTTGTACAACAGGGTCACATCGTGCCTTTCCTCTGCTGGGGTGGTGGCCTGAGGACATTCACAAGGTTATTACAGGAATCAATGGCTGAAATCACATGCAGGTGCACTCACAAACGCACTCCAATAATATTCAGATTAACCAGTTTGTTTTGGGGAAAGGAAAATAATTTGATTGTGCCCAGTGCTGGTTCCAAAAATTCAGTACAGGAATCAATAATGTTTCAGGGATATGTTGAACCAAGTGGTTCCCTCTGTTCCCTTTAGAGTGGAAGGATTTCTGGGGGATTTTTAGGGTGCTGTGGGTTATTTAGGATACAAGGGAGCCTGCCCTGGTGTTATCCCAATGCATGGTTAGCAGAAGGTGAATTATCCTGCTTTAGAAGAGTTCCAAATAGAAATAAGGCTGGGACTGGAGTAGCACAGCAGGCAGAATTAGAGACACAGAGGCTCTGATTTTTGGGCTGCTCATGGCACAGAAAATCTTCTTCCCCCACTTGTTCTGGTCTGTGGCTTTTCTGCTGCATTGAAAACTCCTGCACAAACCAGCAGGAGACTCTCCCCCCTCACCCCTTGCCCCACACAGCTTCCTGAGGAGTTCCTGAGCTCTCTACTCACGTTTGCAATCTCTGTTTCAAGCTCCATGACCTTTGCCATCTCCTCCTGGACAAAGGAATCATCCCTAGACACGTTCTTGTCCTCACGGATCATTTTGGCGATGGTGATCATGAACTGCAGGTAAGCTTCCCTCACCTGCACTCGGACACAGAGCAGGCAGAAAGGGTTTGCTGTCCATCATTTCATAGAATCCCAGAATGGTTGGGGCTGGAAGGGACATTAAAGCCCATCCAGTGCCACCTCTGCCATGGTAGGGACACCTTTCACTATCCCAGATGGCTCCAAGCTTTTTCCAACACTTCCAGGGATCCAGGGGCAGCCACAGCTTCTCTGGGCACCCTGTGCCAGGGCCTGCCCACCCTCATAGGGAAGAATTTCATCCCAGTTTCCCCTCTAGCCCTGCCCTCTGTCAGTTTGAGCCCATTCCCCCATGCCCTGTCACTCCAGGCCCTTTTAAGCAATCTCTGTCACAGACATCTTTTATGGAAAATCCTTTCCTTAGGATTTTTCCTCCTGAGAAGCTGAGAGGCCTCAAGAACAAAAGGTAAACATTGATTGTCTGCTGCTGTGGAATGCAACAGGTGCATCTGTGACTGGCCCATGTTGGATGTTTGTAATTAATGGCCAATCATAGTCAGCTGGCTCAGACAGAGAGCTGAGCCACAAACCTTTGTTATCACTCTTATTCTATTCTTAGCTAGCCTTCTGATGAAATCCTTTCTTCTATTCTTTTTGTATAGTTTTAATGTAATATATATCATAAAATAATAAATCAGCCTTCTGAAACATGGAGTCAGATCCTCATCTCTTCCCTCAACCTGAGAGCCCTGTGAACACCAGCACATCTCTCTTCACTATTTCTGTGGTTCATCTTCACATTTCTCATCCAGCAAAGCATTCTCTTTGTCATGGATACCTTACAGGGCACTTGCCAGCCTCACAACAAAATTTCTCCTTCTCTGTGCCATGCAAGCCTGGCATTCTGGGTTAGAATTACTGCTTGGGCAAAGAGGAGGCTCTGTGCTTTGAGTTACACCATGGGAACAGCGATCCAAAATTCCAGGGTGAACAGGGAAGGTTTGAGTTCTCTGAAAGTAATACCATAAATCTTCTCAGGTCTGGTTTTAGTGTCTGAAAGGAGAGCTCTGTTCCAGACAGTTCCCAGTGGCACCTTTGCTTTATTCCTGATGGGGAGGCCCTGACTGATTTATGCCTCAGAAAGGGCCTTGAAAAGCCATTTGGCTGCTGAGGGAGTGCTGATCCCTGAAGCAGGAAAACTCCATGCTACCTGTTCTCCTCCTCACGAATTTTTCTCCCTGTATAGAGCCTGGAAGCCAGATAAACACAGTGGCTGTGGTGAAACTTGAGTCTGGGCACTTACAGATGATGATTTGTGGTTTTAGGCTGAATGCTGAGCCTTAATCAGGCCAGACTCCCCCAGGCCTCAGGAGGAGTTTTGCCAAAAGATGCTGGACTAAGCACAGGGGGAGTTTGGGTCATCAGAGCTGGGCTCATTGTCTGGGGGCAGCGAGCTGGTAAATACAAATAAAAAGGGGTTGTGTCTCCTCCTTGGTCATTAGGATTAAAAGCACAGCCTCAGCCCCCCTGCTTTGTGCCTTCAAATTAAAGCTGTATTGAGCAGAACTGGTTTTCTTCCTCTAATTTAGGATTGTCTCTGCACTCTACCTGGTTTCCTACCTCCTCCAAGTCAATCTGTGTCTGACCTTCATGTCCCAATGCATAAATATCCCTTTTTTGTGCTCTGTGTGCTGCTGTGGAGGTGACACTTGCAGGGGAGATTCCCAGGTCAGCAGCTTTCCACACTTTTCTATTTCCAGATTGTTTTGTCCCTAAAGGTGCCCAGAAGGTGTGGGGACAATCCCCTATAAACCTCACAGGGCTATATTTTAGCTAAATTCTATATAAAATGTAGCCAAACACACTGAAGTGAGAAGAAAACTCTTCCCACTGATGTTTTCATCTGCCTTTACAACCACGAGACAAAAGAGTCTCAAATGCTGATTGTTGTCCCTCTGTATTCCCTTCCATTCTTGTTAGGAAAATTGGTTTGATGTTGGGCTGCAAATGCTCTTTGTTAGCAAGGCATAATTGAGGAAAATAAAATGTACTAAAGCAGTATTTTCATCTTGGAAACAGACAAATTATCTGGCTCTGTTTGCAAGAGCTTTCTGTGTATTTACAGAAACTGTTTTTGCAGAATCTGGTTTTGCCCCGAGCATTGGCAGGGGAAAGCAGCTAGAAAATAATCTCTCACAATTTCATGCAATTTTGGGGGAAGGGGAGGGTAAGTGGCAGCAGATTCCTGCTTGCTGAGCATCAGGGATTCAGAGGAAGATACAAGCAAATCTGCACTGAAAACGTGAAGCTGTCCTTCAAAATGAGAGACTGCCTAAGCTACAAAACACAATTTTATTTTCTCATAACCTTCTTCATGAGTTGCCCAGCTTAGTATTTGTACTGTTGTTCAGTCTTTTTGTAAACTTTATAAAATGTTGGTTTAATTAGGAAAAAAACATAGCAATGAATGTCACAGCCTAGTTGTGGTTGTTGCATAGTGTGAAAATTCATGTATTGGGGTTTTTGAAGGAACAGGGATAAGGAATAAAGTTGCTTTAGTGCACAGAGTAAATCAAAACAAGGGATACTTACTCTCTGATAGTTGCCCCCATTAAAGTAGTAGTCCCTGGATGGCATCCCCAAACTTGGCTGGTCAATCTGGAGGAAAATGCATTTCTCTGGTTAGTGGTGAACAGGAACTGGAGGGTCCAGCTCTTATCTCTGGGTTTCCAGATAAGGACAGGGTGGATCTTAGTGTGGGTTAAAAAGCGAAATTTTTCACTAACCATGAAGACCCAAGAACAAATTTAAGTAACTTTTCTACATTGCTTGACTTTAAGGCTGAACTTCTTGCACAACCATCCATCAACAAACTCTGAAATACCCTTTATGTGTTTTAAACCCATGGTTTCCTGCTATATATTAAACCTCATCCTCATTTTTTTTTAAGTCACAAGAATTTACAGCCCTTAAATGCTGTAAATCAGCAAAAGCTCCATTAATCCTAATTTCTTTTGCTGAAACAAAAATTCTGCTGCCATAAAACATTTCCCAATATGTCTTTGAGACAGATCTGACTCTCAAGGTACAGAGTTTTATACAAATTACCTACATTTTACCACTTTTGTTCAATGAGAAGCTCATCTCTCTGCAGTGTAAATAATGATCCATTAGGATTTTCTGGCATATAAAAAATTCCCTGTCCTTTTTTTTTCCTTACATAAATGATGTGTCTGCTGGAATCCCTGTCATCATTCCACACGAACATGTCGATGAGGACACGTTTGTTAAACCTGGAGTTCATGATGGAAAGGGTTTCCTCCATGCTCCAGCTTGGCTCTGGGAGATAAAAGGGAAAATAAAATAGAGTTAATTTGTCAATCTGCGTCAGACTGATTGAAGCTGTGCAGTTCACAAGCTGAAATTTTGGAGATCTGTTTAAATGGATCAATGGGTATTCAATGTGTATTTTAAATTAAAACCTTGACTTGTGTTTGGGAAGGGAAACTGAAAATGGAAGGATTTGTTTTGGTGACAATGGCTTCCCTGCTTCAGTAAATAATTCTGACTGAGCCCTCCCAGGCCCAGCATTACCTTTGGTCCTACTCCAGTCTGCAGAAGCCACTGGCCAATCTCCAACCATCCTCAGGGCTTCCAGCAGGGGCAGGGAATCTCTTTGCTCTATAAGACCTGAGGGAGCAAAGACAAATTCTGCATTTTTTTCATACAAAAAGAATTGTTTTCATTTGCTCTATGAGACATGAGGGAGCAAATTCTGCATTGTTTTCATACAAAAATAAAATTAGGAAAAATAGGTAATGGGCCTAACAGCTTGAATTTGCAACTGAATGTGTCATAAATAAGACAGCAGAAAATAAGAGATATCCTGAAGCCATTCTATATGAGTCTTCAGAAAAGGAATGAAAATACTTCTGCATAAAAATAAAATAAAATAAAATAAAATAAAATAAAATAAAATAAATGTAATATATTAATATAATATATGATATATAATATATGATATATGATATATAATATATAATATATAATATATAATATATAATATATAATATATAATGTATGATGTATGATGCATGATGTATGATGCATGATGTATGATATATTATATAAGATATAATATAATATAATATAATATAATATAATATAAATACCAATATATTATTATATATATAATAATTATAACTTCTGCAATACTTCCAGGACTGATTTGGAGTGGGTTGGTTTGGGAAGGATGAACTGGGCCAGGTTTGTGCCTTCTGAAGGAAAAGCTTTGCATCCACACCAGGGCTGGGTACCAACATCCACCCTTTCCACATCCCAAATGGGTATTTTGAGGTTTAATGAAATACCAAAGCATCTTCATCCATCTGAAGATGAATTTTCCAGGCACAGCCACATGGATTAAACAGATATTTGCTTAAAATGCTTTGGTTTTCTGTACACCTGGTTTTGAACAGGGGAATTGATGGAACAAGACACTCACTCTCATTCATGCAGGACTTGTAAAGGATTTTGGCTTTCTGAAATGCTTCTCTGTCCCCTTGGTCTGAAGTCTCCAGCACACCTGGGGAAGGAACCATTGCAGTGAGATTTGTGCCCTGGGGACCTTGGATCATTTTACAGAAATCCCTGAGGATTCAGGGCCGTGAATTGTGGGCTGCAATTACTGCCAAACTGGAGAGCTCTTCATGCTATTAGTGAAATAAAGTGCCAGGTGAAGGACCTGTAGACAGCTTGTCCTGCTCCTTTTGGAGTCAGCACCCAATCAATCGCCTCTGGATAATTTTTAGTGGGAAGAACAGGATGTCCCCTCAAAATGGGAGAGATAAAAGCACCAGAGGGGAAAAAAATCCCAATGAACACTTCTGTGCAAATTTAATTCTCTGTCTGAGGGGCAGTGAGGAAGCTCTGAAATAAGCACAGGTTTCTGGGGATGGAGCAGCTCCATGCCTACCTTTGAGGATGATCTCCAGCTCGTCCCTCAGGATGTCAAAGATGCTGTATCTGGAGCTGGTCTCTGGGATCACATGCCTGTTCAGCCAGCCCCCACAGGCATACTGGTAGAAATCCTGGCATGGGTCAGCTGTGGGGTCCATGTTCTGGATGATTCTGGCAGCTGGGCAGCAAAAGTGGAGAGCTGAATTCTACAGAATGCCCAGGAACCTCTGGCACTGCTGGGGACACTCAAGGAGCTTCTTGGCAAAACTCATTCCCACATTTTATGACTTGAAAAATCCTGTTTTTTGCTTGGAAAGGGATCTGAATGGCAGGTGTGGAATGGGAGATGTGAATGGCAGATGTGGAATTGCAGAAGAAGAATAGCAGATGTGGAATGGCAGATGGAGAATGGCAGGTGGAGAATTGCAGATGTGGAATTGCAAATGTGGAATGGCAGAAGGAGAATGGCAGATGCAGAATGGCAGGTGTGGAATGGCAGGTGGAGAATGGCAGATGCAGAATGGCAGGTGTGGAATGGCAGGTGGAGAATGGCAGATGTGGAATTGCAGATGTGGAATTGCAGATGTGGAATTGCAGATGTAGAATTGCAGATGTGAATGGCAGGTATGGAATGTCAGATGGAGAATGGCAGATGTAGAATTGCAGATGCAGAATGGCAGATGTGGAATGGCAGATCTGGAGAATTGCAGATGTAGAATGGAGATGTAGAGATACATCTGTGGAATGGCAGGTGTAGAATTACAGATGTGAATGACAAGTGTGGAATGGCAGATGTAGAATGGCAGGTGTGGAATGGCAGATGTAAAATGGCAGGTGTAGAATTGCAGATGTGAATGGCAGGTGTAGAATAGCACATCTGGATGGCAGAAGAGTTGCTCCAGAGCACAAGACCTTGCAGGGAACAGTGCCCAGTTCTCCCCTGGGCTCCAGTTTAGGCACTGCCCAAAAATCCAGTGTTCCCATGGGGGTGTTGTGAGCCTCTATGCTTTACCCTCACCTCTCTTGAGTGTAGATACCACAAATAAAAACGTGAATGCCCCGTGAGAGAGAAAATTCAGTCTAAAGGGAGTTTTATTCTGCTTACAGACACAGATTGTGTTGGTCAGTCCATGGCCTTTGCCACCCTGGCAATTTTCCTGTGCCTCTCATGAATGATACTCCTTACCCAAGGGGAAATCTCACTCCTTTTCACCCTAAACTCTGGATTATCTCTTTTTTCAGGTTCAGTGCCAGCCCACAAAGCCTCCCCAGTGCAGCAGGAATCCCCATACCCCATTACCTGCTGTCACACACCCAGGGGTGGTGCAGATGCTGCCCGAGTTGGTGCCGTAGTGGGAGCCTGCAGGGAGAGGAGGAAAACAGATGGAATCACTTGTTTGGGAAGGGAATTCCTCCCAAAATCACTCACCAGAGCCCAGTCCCGGTGACAGCTCGGCGCTTTGAGAGCAGGAGAGTGAAATGCTGGTGCCTGTCGAAGACATCAGATGACAACCGTGAAGAAATCTGGGGATTTTTGAGGAAAATTTATTGGCAGCAGTGCTACAACAGCCTTGACAGTGAGTTTTATCTCTCCTGGAAGGAGAATGAGACCATCTTTTCTACCTGCTAACTGCCTCACAGCCTCCTCAAAATGTGGGATCCTTTTTTAGATAATTATTAAAATGCTCTGAGCATCTTCAAAGCCACTGAGGCTGAGGGATCTGAGGGATCTCCTTGGCCTAGGAGAAGGAAATTCATTTTGCTGCTTTAATTTCCCATTTAAAAAACTGGATGCCTTGCTTTACTACCCTTATATCAAATGCTTTATTACTTATATCAAATAGGCAACAATGTGGTTCCACTCTGAAAAACAAAATCTTGGTCCTTTCCAGCAGATTTAGCCATTTTTAAGCTTTGTTTTTGATCCTTTTTTGCAGAAAAGAGTTACTAAATAATCACTTTTAAATGCAAGTAAAAGTGCTTTATATGAGAGCAAACAAGATTGCAGCAATTCAGAGGGAAATAAAACAGTGGGGGAGAAAAGAGGGCTTTGAAGTTCATCACTGGAAATGACAGAAAAAGCCCCCACTGTGCTGGGGAATGTTCAGGGCTCAGCTGAGCCTGGCTGTGCTGGGTGGGAGCACATCTGCAAGAGCAAAATTCTGTGTATTCTGTGTCCTGCCAAATTTGCTGTGCCCGTTTCATGCACCACAGTGTTCTTCTGCAAGATGGACACAAGCAGGAAAATATTCCCCCTGAAGCACAAAGCCTAAACATGCCTTCAGAAATTAAAAAAAAAATAGAAGTGAACGCAAAGCAGGACAGGCAGTGCTTTAATTTTCTAATTTAATTCCTAATTACAAGCGAAACAAAATGATTTTGAGGAGCCTGGGTAGTGTCATTGTGAGCAAGGGTGCATCAAGGTGAAGTGAGAAACGTGGATCTGCTCTTGGTGAGCAATCCAGTGTCCCCTGCACATTGCAAAATTAACATTTCAGTGGAATTAGCAATAGGAGATGCCCAGGATAACACTGGTGGTTGTGTCACATGAAGGGTGCTCAGCCACATTGGGTATTTTTCCTTTTTTGTGGTTTTTTTCCCCTATTCTGTGGGATTTCTGTGGCACAGCTTTGAGCCAGAGGTGCTTTTTCCATGGGGAAAAGGGATTTGAGCATTGGGAATGGGCTGAGCAAAACAGAGCTAAGGGGGGCACTGGGACAAAACTTTTCAAGACAAATAAAAAAAAGATATTTCTGCTGCAGGAAGAGTCTGAAAAACTCTCATTGCCTCAGTTCTTGACCCAGGCAGGGCATGTGGGCAGTGCTCTGTGAGGATGGAGCTCCTGCTGCTCATTTCCCACCTGGAATCTCATTTCCCACCTGGAATTTCATTTCCCACCTGAATTTTCCTTTCCCACCTGGGATTTTATCTCCCGCATGTAATCTCATTTCCCACTTGGAATTTCCTTTTCCACCTGGAATCTCCTTTCCCATCTGTAATCTCATTTCCCACCTAGAATTTCCTTTCCCACCTGGAATCACCTAACACTGGTGGCTGCTCCAGCTGTGGGCTGGGATGGGGGCAGAGGCACAAAGTGGCTCCAGGGCACATCTGGACACATCTGGTGGGGTGTGAGGAGCACAGGGCAGCAGAACATCAGCCCTGCACTTTGGGAACATTTCCAGGGAAAGTTTAATTGCAGATATGAGAAAATATTTAAGTTTTAGACCTGTTTTCTCACAGATAAGCCTTCCTTAAACACATGCAATGAGCACAGACCCTGCCTCTGGATTTGGATGAGACCAACACTTGGGCAAATGTTATTAATACCTGAATTCTGCATTGTCTGCAGCCAGCAAAGGATGTGGGGCAGATTTCCCCAATCCTTTCTGCATGCAGGCAGCAAAACCCAATGCCAAGCTCAGTGTTTGATACAGAAACTCCTCCTCCAGGACCTGGCTCTGGGGAATTTCTCTCCTGAGCTAATAGAACCAACTTTCTGATGAACTTCATGAATACCAAACGCTCAGATTTTGCTGGTAGCAAAAGGAGTGAACCATAACAAGGCTTTTTTCATGAATTATTGCTCAGCGCTGTGCAGCGTTTCACTCACAAGTGCTGGGCATGCAGCTCCCTGCAGCAGGGGAGGCAGAGACTGTGTTTTGCTGCTGTGTTTTGCTCCAGTTTCCACTTTAATTTCACTCCCCAGTGTTTTAACAAAGCTCCCAGCCCAGGAGGCTTTAATGGAAGTGACAAACACGAGGCAGAGCTGCTCCCCAGCATTTGATGCTTCACAGGGTTTCCAAAGTGGGGCTTTGCACTTGCTGTGCCAGCGGGAAAACTTTGGTTTTACCAAGTGTGCTCTGCAGTTAAAATATTTAAATATTTAGGCAAAACACCTCAAACTAACGTGCCTCAATGCCAGGTTTCTGGCAAGATATTCACATTCAAGTCGCTGAAGCAAATCACACTTAGAGATCCAACTGCCTGATGGAATATTTGAAAAGTCTCCTTTTCCTCAGCAGCAAGTGGCTTTTTTATTTTTTTTTTTAGGCTTTCACATTGTAATAAGCAATTTCCCCTTCAGGGGGATTGTTTTTAGAAGTGTTTCAAAGCAGCTGTTGCTTTAAAAACCCTGGCAATAATGAATCTTGGCTTGTGCTTGGATAAAATGAGGAAATGTCAGTCCTCACACACAGGCACACACCTTCCCTCTAAAACAGCGCATCAGCTTTGTCAAAACAGCTCTGAAAACAACAAACTGCACGGAATTAAATAAAATCATAGAATTTTGCAGAGCATAACTCAAAATTTCAGTGAAAGCCAGCATAATCTCTGTGCACAAGGCAGGGAGAGCTCAGTTCCCCACAGAGGTGACCTCATGGTCTCCCTGTGTTTTTGTTTTCATTTAGCTCTGAGAAAAAAAAAGGAAAAAAAAGAAAACAACAACAACAACAACAACAAAAGGACTTTTCCTGCTGTTTGCAGAGGGAAGGGGAAGATAATTCAGATTATTCCCGGGTTCTTACCTCTGGTGCTGGCATAGAGGATCACCAGGGCGACGGCAGCACAGGTCATGAGGAGCAGCAGGACAGCCAGCCCGATGGCCACAAAGCTCCAGGGCTTCCTCCCAGACTTGGTCGATTTTTCCACAATATCCATTTGGCTTTCTGATTTCCCCATTATTGTAACGCTAAATCGGGGAGGGGAAAGGGTTAACAGCACGGCTACATCAGGATAGGGAGAAGGAAAAAAAAAAAGGAAGCAGGATAAAAGCAAAGAGAGCAAGAAAACTTCCAGGTTATTACATGTATTTGTCCATTTGATTGTCCACAGATTTGCCAAGCTCATTCTCCATCTCCCGAGCCTGCGCGTCTGCTCTGGGGGCAGCGCCGCAACTTCAGGAGCCTCTTTGGGAAGTCTGGAAAAGTCTCATGACCAGCTCGGGCAGCTCCTTTCCTTCTGGCAGGCAGGGAAGGAGGGGGGCAAAGAGCCGCTTCCCCTGCCCGCTTCCAAAGGGCTCCCTGAATATTCGGAATAATCCCTGCGTGGCGCTGGGCTCCGTCAGCAGCAGGGGGAGCCGGGCTGGGACTCTGTCACCTCTGTCACCATTCAAGGAATACGAGATGGGACCCTCGCAGGGCTCTGTCACCACTCAGGGAATCCGGGTTGGGACCCTCGCAGGGCTCTGTCCCCTCTGTCACCTCTCAGAGAATCCAGGCTGGGACTCCTGCGGGGCTCTGTCACCTCTGTCACCATTCAAATAATCCGGGTTGGGACTCTGTCACCTCTGTCACCACTCAGAGAATCCAGGCTGGGACTCCTGCAGGGCTCTGTCACCTCTGCCACCATTCAAATAATCCAGGCTGAGATTCTGTCACCGCTGTCACCATTCAAATAATCCGGGTTGGGACTCTGTCACCGCTGTCACCATTCACGGGATCGGGGCTGGCACACTCGCAGGCGCCCGGGAGCGGCTCCGGGGGCACGGGATGGGCACGGCGGGCGGCTCCGGGAGGCTGCGGCTGTGCCCGGCTGCTCCGAGCCATGCTCAGGCTGGGCAGCTCAGCCCCGAGCCCTTCCCAGCGCCGGGAGATGCTCCGGAGGGAGGAGGGATGGGATGGGATGGGCTGGAGGCGCTCCGGGCGGCGGCGGCTCCGAGATCCGCGAGGCTCTGTTAGCCCGGGATTGTGTTAGCCCCGCGGTTCTGTTAGCCCGGAATCCATCCGGGATTGTGTTAGCCCTGGATTGTGTTAGCCCCGGGGTTCTGTTATCCCGGGATTGTGTTAGCCCCGGGGTTCTGTTAGCCACGAATCCACCCGGGATTGTGTTAGCCCTGGATTTCCATCCGGAGTTCTGTTATCCCGGGACTGTGTTAGCTCCGGGGTTCTGTTAGCCCGGAATCCATCCGAGATTGTGTTATCCCTGGGGTTCTGTTATCCCGGGATTTCCGTCTGGAGTTCTGTTTTCCCGGGGTTGTGTAGCCCTGAATCCACCTGGGGTTCTGTTAGCCCGGAATCCACCCGGGGTTCTGCTATCCCTGGATTTCCACCCTGGATCCTGTTACCCCTGGAGCCATCCCGTTATTCTGTTACCCCTGAATGCCCCCCTAGATTCTGCTATCCCCGGATGCCACCTGGACTCTGTTACCCCTGGATTTCCACCCAGGATCCTGTTAACCCCCGGGATGCCACCTCGGATTCTGTTACCCCTTACATGCCACCTGGGATGCTGTCATCCCTGGATTTCCACCCAGGATTCTGTTAATCCTGGAGCCACCCGGGATCCTGTTATCCCTGAATGCCACCCAGACTCTCCTGGAGCCACCCCATTTTTCTGTTATCCCTGAATTCCACCCGGACTCTGTTATCCCTGGAGCCACTCCTGAGTGCCACCCATTATTCTGTTAGCCCGAAATGCCACCTGGGACTCTGTTATCCCTGAATGCCATCCAGAATTCTGTTGCTCCTGGATTTCCACCCAGGATTCTGTTATCCCTGCGATTCCACCTGGGATCCTTTTACCCCTGGGATGCCACCCAGGATCCTGTTAGCCCTGGAGCCACCCGTTATTCTGTTACCCCTGAATGCCCCCCTAGATTCTGTTACCCCTGGAGCCACCCCATTGCTTTGTTCTCCCTGAATTCCACCCGGGATCCTGTTACCCCTGCAGCCACCCCATTTTTCGGCCGCTGCCCTCGCAGGGAGTTGGGAACCTGCTGGAGCTCTCCGGTTTCCCAGAGCGCCGGCAGCTTTGGGGTAGGATGAAGGAGAAGTGTTCATAGAGTGTAAATCAGCAAACAGGCTGATTTATGGGGTGGTGCAGGCAGTGCACGCAATTCCTGCATGGAAATGTGGCTGGGAACAGCTGGGACAGGCAGCAGAAGCGAGGACAGGGTGGGATTCCCGTGGGTTTTGTTTCACTCTGGTGCAGACAAACCCTGGGAGGAGGAGCAGGCTGGGGCTGGGGGTGTTTTCCTCTCACTGCAGGATTTCACACAGCAGAAATCCCAGGTTGTGCCTCTGCACTCCAAGTTTTGTGTGGGAGCTCAGGAGGAGGTGCTGGGGGCAGAGCAGAGGTTCATTTGTGTCTTTTTTTGCTTGGAGACTCAGTGTTCCAAGAATAAACACCAATTCCTTCTCCCAGTCACCATTCTGCCTCAAAACCCCTGGGAGAGCTTCCCTTTCATTTTTTCCTCTCCAGATTCAGGTTAACTGGGTCTCCAGGCAAGGGTGAAGGCAGCAATTCTGATCCCAGCAGCTGAGGAGGAGCGGGAGAACCCAGGGGTGGGAAATGCTCCTGGGTGTCCATATGGCAAACAGAGCTGCAGGAGGCAGGGGCACTGCTAAGCACAAATCTATACATTTAATTAGGATTTAAGTGGCCTCTCGTTTCTGTTTGCAGAAATTTCTGCAGCTAACTAAGATTGGTTAATGGGAATCTTCCTTCTTGTTGAGCATTTTACTCTTACTTTACAACTAAGCTGGCTCCGAGTAGGATCTACCTGGTTGGCATCCATAAAACTGTAACAGGCAGGGGACTCACAGGACTTAATGTGGCAATTTTTGTAGATTGAATGTAGCTAATTTTGTAGATTTAATGTAGTTATTTTTGTAGATTGAATGTAGTTATTCTCATAGATTTAATGTAGTTGTTTTGTAGATTTAATATAGTTATTCTCATAGATTTAATGCGGCATTTTTTGTAGATTTAACATAGTTAATTTTGTAGATTTAATCTGCTTATTCTCATAGATTTAATGTAATTATTTTTGTAGATTTAATGTGGTTATTCTCATAGATTTAATGTAGTTTTCCTCATAGATTTAATGTGGCATTTTTGGTATATTTAATGCAGTTAATTTTGTAGATTTAATGTAGTTATTCTCGTAGATCAATGTAGTTTTTCTTCATAGATTTAATGTAGTTATTTTTTGGTAAATTTAATGTAGCTATTCTCATAGGTTTAATGTAGTTTTTATCATTGTTGTAATGTATTTATTCTTACACCATGGCTATAAGACACTGCAGGGTATTATTTTGCCCATTTTAGAGGTGGAGAACCAAGATGCCAAGAATCTAAAAGCTTTATTCCTTGTGCTAGGTGAAAAAAACCCAAAAAAATCCAACCCAACTCAAACAAAACTCAAGAAACCCCTTATTTTCTGTGTGAGCAGCACCAGCAGCTGTAAAGGACTTATTTGCAGAATCATTAATTTTGATTATCTCGAGCAGCTTTGATTGGTCACTGGAATGGAGCAATCCATCATCCTGGCAGTGCAGCAAGGTCCCTGTTCTGGTCACTGCTTCGGAGGGGACAGAGCTGCTTTGATTTCTGACACTCTCACTCTCACCTTGCAGCTCTGTGGCAAAGGCAGCTCCATGCTGGGAGATGGAATGGGGTTGCTCTGTTATTTATTTTCCCCCCTAAATCTCACATTCAATTAAATTATTCATCATTTAGTCAGTGCCCGCAGAAATTCTCATCTGCTGGTCCACCCCACCTTCTATCAGCCCTTCACTTTACAAAAGAGCGTTTTTTAAAAAGCTTAATTCCTCTTTGCAATCCTGGGAAGGTGAACACTGCTCTGGGGGTTTCTTCTTCCAGAGATTGAGGAACTGTGGGGGTTTTCAGTTCTTGGAAAACATCCTCTCTCCCCAAAGCAACGCAGACACAAAGCAGATGAAGCAATGAGGCATTTGCTGTTTGGGTTGGGCCACTTTGAAAGGATTTTTTCCCTTTTTGCTTACTTTGGAACTTTGCAGAGGAGGTTCTCCTGTTACTGGAGCTTGGAAGTGTAAAGAGCTCACAGTGTGGCAGGGTTACAGCTTGGAAAAAAACCTCAAATCAGGGAATTTTACCCTTGGATCCTGCAGGGATGGGGTTTGAGCAGCCAAGCCTCTTTGTGGGGTGTGTTTAGTGGGAATTCAGAGACCCCACATGTGAATATTTACTCCAAAGATGCTTCCTCAGACATGAAACATCCCAAACTGCGCAGAACTCCTGAACACAGAGAGGGAGCAGCTCTGGGGTTTTATGCAGTGCTTTTCTTCTTGGGAAAAATTCTCAAGTCTGGGGGGGAATTTAGGGCAGAGATTCCAGCCCTGGACAGCAAATATTTGAGCTGGTGCTTCACCTGTCTGGGAGACAGCACTTCAATATTTTTATCTTCATATTTCCCCTGGAGAATCTGGAATAAATACCTGGGATGAGACTCTTCAAGGACTTTTTTACCTTGCTCAGAAGTTTGGTTGCTGTGTCATAATTGCCACAATGTCAAGTTGACCTTCAACTCCTCCTTCTGAAGGAATTGATTCTGAAGATAGAAATTGTCAGAAATTGAATTTTTTCCCCCTCTTCCTGTGTTTGTTTTGCCACCAGTGATGTAAACCTCAAAAACTTTGTGCTCATAAGAATACATGAGAATATATAACCTAAAATTATATATATATGCACCTGATAGTATTATATGAGAACATATTACCTACTTTAGTTGCCTGTCCAATTTTTGCACAGTTTTTGGTGTTAATATTGATGGCATTGAATGCTCTGGGTCACCTGAACAGATGATCCCATGGTTGCTGCTCCCAGAAATCCAGGGAGTGGATGTGCAGTGGAGCAGTGATTTCCCAGCTGGAGCTCTGGGGCTCTGCTGCAGGAATTAAACAGCTCCACCAAATGTGAAATGTGAAA